CAAAAGTTTGGACACACCTTCTCATATAACGGTTTTCCTTTATTGTCATGACATTGTAGATTCTCACTGAAGGCATATAGTGAACAAAGAAGTGTGAAATGTTTTACATTTTAGATTCTTCAAAATAGCCACCCTTTGCTTTGGTTTTCTGCTTTGTTGCGCTCATTAAGGGAAGCTCATGAAGCTTCATGGGTGTAGAGGTCATCTGGTCACCTTTTCTGTGTTGTACAAAGACACGGTGGGTGGAACCAAAGATCTCAAATTTGGACTCATCAGATTTTTCACTGGTCTAATGTCCATTCCTCGTGTTTCTTTGCCCAAACAAATCTCTTCTGCTTGTTGCTTTTCCTTAGTCGTGGTTTCTTAGCAGCTATTTGGTCATGAAGGCCTGATTCATGCAGTCTCCTCTGAGCCATTGATGTAGAAATATGTCTGCTACTGGAACACTGTGTGGCATTTATCTGGGCTCTGATCTGAGGTGCTTGGGGCGGTCCCCATGTGAGCCAGTATTATTGTAGCTCTTGATGGTTTTTGTCAGTGTACTTGGAGACACGTTCAAAGTTTCAGAAATTTTCCAGACTAACTGACTGACATTCACTTCTTAAATGTAATGATGGACTGTCATTTCCCTTCACTTAGCTGATTGGTTCTTGCCATAATATGAATTCTAACAATTGTCAACTAGAGCTGTCAGCTGTGTACCAACCTGACATCTGCACAACACAACTGATGGTCCCAACCCCATTAGGAAGGCAAGAAACTCCACAAATGAACCCTGATAATGCACACCCGTGAAGGGAAACAATTTCAGGGGACTGCATCATGACGCTTACTGAGAGAAGACCAAGAGTTTGCAGTGCTGTCAACAAAGCAAAGGGTGGCTCCTTTGAGGAATCTAAAATTTAAGACATATTTATTTGTCCATTGATAAATAATTCGACATATGGAGGCAAATTGTGAACATTGTAGTGAAGACATTAATACTTTGAGTTTTTTAATAAAAAGCACCCCATTACCTGGCGTGGTAATGCAAACATTATTGCACAGCAGTCAAAGTGTATACAAAGTGAAGAGTGATTTTATATTTCGACCAGATGTTACAAGAATAACTAACAATAATAATGCTGCAATTGTTCAATTTCAAAAGCTGTATGTGTGAAAGTTTTTTAACTGTCCACATGCAGTTGCTTGGGTTGGCTTAATTGGTGATTTTAATTAGCCATAAGTGTGGCATGTGAATTTGAATAGCTGTCTGTCCCTGTGTGATAATCCAGTGACATGTCCTCACACTATGGCAGCTGGGACAGGCTTCTTGAAATCTATTTTTCATTGTTACAAAGGTTTGGTCTGCGTCCGAGCATCCCATGACGTAATTAATATGCGACATGAACGCTGCAACAAAGGTGGACATCAAGGCAAGAATATACCTGCTGCTCGGTCTGTGGCTTCTCGTCAGACTCGGGGATCATGGCGTTGTTTTTTGTGGCCATTTTCCCCATTTCTGGGTTTCCAAAAATTTGGTTCACATATTCAGAACCCCGGCCGAGCAGGTACTTTTTAATACCTGGTACCAGGTGGTATGACGTAATGGAAAAACCCTGAAAACCATGGTGAACCATGGCAAGTCGATCTGAGTAGGTAGTAATGGAAAAGGGGCTTATCAGGTCACACTTTGAGAACCTTGGCTATTTATCCAATTATAGGCTGTTTTACAGAAGAAAAGATTCCCCAACCCCCAAATTATAGAGCAAGTTAATGAGGAAATAGAATCGACATTATATAGCAAACTGTAGTCTCAGTGACTGCTCAGACCAAATTCGGACCACATGTCACATTCAATCATACATTTATAAGCTTCTTTTGGATTTTTCTCAGCGCATCACCCTGCAGATGAATGTTTGCTGTGGCACTGATTTTATACCAGATGCCTTCCCATGTGTCTGGGTTTGGGACTGGCACTCAGAGTACATTGGTTTTGGGCCCCCTAGATTATGTCTTGAAATCTTTTGCACATAAAGAAAACTATCACACCACAGAGCCACACTCTATATTACTACAGCACTTTATTCCCTTTATCTGTCTCACATCCAAGGCCAGTTTAGAATGATCAATTAACTTAATGTGTACACGGCTGCCCAAAGGTGAACAGAGGTAGTGTATGTACAAATTTCATCTGTTCTCTGCAATCTTTCCTCCAACCACAAGCATCACCACCCCAACAACCGCACTCCAAACCCCACTGACAACTTCACTATGCATATGGTTCATATACTGATATGGAGTTTTAAGCTGTTGTCCATAAAGAACACAGTCTCTTGTAAAAATAACAGGAAAGCTGAAAGGATTTAAATAGTCACCTTTCATTTGAAAACTAACTCTTTTTAAATGCTTAGAACATATTGGTTAGGTCCAAGAACTGCTACTGAAAAATTCTTTGTAACAGAGTAGCAGAATTATTTGGAGCTTACAATTTAAAACTGATAAATATACAACTTCTGACAAAATTCACATGTAATTCTCTGGATGTGTTGGTGGTCAAATCATTAAACATCTGAAATGTGCTAAATGAAAACTAATCCCTCTTCATAGCTTTCAGTGTTATCTGTCGTGTAATGGAGAACTGTATACCTCTCACACAGAAGTGGCAGACTCGAAAATGAACTTTTTCATCAAGACTGGAAAATGTGAAATGATTATCATTAAATTTAGGCTATGAAGAGATAAGAAGTACAATGTAACTAAATTTCCCATTGCACTAATCTTATGAACCTGTCATTGGAGTTGGGGAATGGTTCATGTCTTTTTTCTTGTTCTGCAATCAGCTGACTTCAGTGCGTGTGCAGAAACGAGCTGTCTGCAGCTTCTGAGCAGTAATGAATATTACTTAAAGCTTTATTAAACGGTAAATGACCTGTATTTATATAGCGCTTTAAAAGTCCCTAAGGACCCCAAAGCGCTTTACACAACCAGTCATCCATCCATTCACACACTGGTGATGGCAGCTACATTGTAGCCACAGCCACCCTGGGGCGCATTGACGGAGGCAAGGCTGCCGGACACTGGCACCACCAGGCCCTCTGACCACCACCAGTAGGCAACGGGTGAAGTGTCTTGCCCAAGGACACAACGACCGAGACTGTCCAAGCTGGGGCTCGAACCGGCAACCTTCCAATTACAAGGCGAACTCCCAACTCTTGAGCCACGATCGCCCCAATTATTAAATGAAAGGACAACAATACGATGGTGCAAAGTACACCCAGGACATAAAGAACTATCCACTTCCGCTGACATGATATAAACTCTTTCAAGCACTAACATGGACAGCATGCTTACACAAAATGGCAAATATTCCAGAATGATGTTAAAGCTGGAATATTGTATCACGGCAAAGCGTGTAATAAACATGCTGGTAAACCATTTGTACTTGAAATGGACATGCATACTGAATTTGCAGTACCAGCAGGGGGAGCCAATATTTAAAGCCAAGAAGTCGCTAATGACCAAGTAATGTCAGTGTCATTTTGTCATTTAAACAATTACGCTAGGTGGATAATGTGTGTTTTCATGTAAATGTCTCAGTGACGTCTCTCTAAATGCTTTCCCATGGTCTTTGGAATTAGCTTGAAACAAAATAGCCACCTCCATTTGTACTGGAGCATATTCCAACTTAAGCATGCTTTCCCATCTCATGCTAATGAGAAGCAAAGCACGACACACACAGGGTGGGCATTAGACCCTTTGCCGTGATACTGAGTTGAGACCAGCCAGCTGCCAAAGCTTGAACGACAACGGGTACAGAAGCAGTAATGACAAGTCAGGTTTGTAGCTTCATAGACAACGTTTTTGTTCCTTTGCTGTTAAATACGTTTTGAGCTTGTTGCTTTTATTTTTGTGTTCTTGAACAAAAATATCCAGTTTTTCCTCATTAGGACAGAGATTTGATTCACTTAATTTATAATTATGTGACAATGCATCTCAGCCATCTTACAGAGAAATGCAAAACTAATGTAATACAACACAACAGTCACAACATTAATGCGTATTTAAAATGAAAGTTATCCAGATTCACAAACCACAAAAATGTGGGATCAACCAATCTGAATAGCAGATGGATTTCAAAATAAGCCAGGCTGTAGGTGTAGCACCAGGAATATACCAACCACAGAACACACAAAATACACACTCAATGTGTGTATATAGAATAATTAACCTACATGTTTTAAGCAGAGAATAAGACACAGAGTAAGCTCAAACTTTCAAATGATTGTTTTTATTAGCACACAGCTAAATTCAGAAGCTACTACTTCTAGTATAAAAGCTAGAGTTTTACACCAGATACCATCCCTGATGCAATCCCAAAGGATTGTGTCTTTGGCTGGAAACACAATTTTTACTCACAAATTTAACACAAATGGAGACGCCAGGCATAAAGCAAAAGTAACCCATGCAAAATAGACGACTGATGGTTTAGCTGCAAATTTTTGCAAATTTGCAAATGCCGCACATTTTGCAGCATTTAGGTGCATTTAAATATTGCACTTCCTCTCTCTTTCACCACAACTTTGTCTCTGATCTAGAGGGTGCACGTACACATTTACTTGTGCCTCTGATGTGCCTGTTATAGAAACTGTGATGAGAGCATACTGTCTGTGAGTGAGTCACACCTAATGTGTGGATTCTGGCCAAATCACTCCTTTACTGTTTCACACAGGGAAAGAGGTTTGGAAAGTTTTTTCCCTTAATAAATGAAATCATCATTTCACACCTATTTGCATAGGTTATCTCTGACTAATATTAAAAATCAGGAACGGGGCAAAAATGTTTTTACGGCACTGTGTGCCTGCACGTATGAATAAGACACTCAGAGTGGCAAAAATGTTAAAATGCCAAAAAAATAACCTGAAAATGGATTTGAATAAGAAATCAATATTAAATCTACATTAACCCTAATAGAGCTCCAGTTCATGAACTGTCAACATATGTAATCGCCCACGGCTCACCTGGTTGTATAGGGCACAGATGTGTAGAGCAGCATTTCCCGAGGCATTCTGGGCGCCCATGTCTGCTCCATAGAACAACAGATGCTCCAGGTGCTGCACATGGCCATGACGACAAGCCTGCACATACACAACAAAGTCAATTGACGCTTCCACTCGAGAGAAGTTGCAGTAAAATGCCTCCAACACTAGATGTCAGTGTGCTGCAAAGGAGATAACATCAAAATGAGACGCAGCTGTACCCTCAGTTTGAACCCAGTCATGAAAAGATGGAAGGATAGGATGAGAGGAGGAAGGCTTAAATAAATCCGATAGCAAATC